GCCTGGGGGTGCTGACTCTGGGGGTGCTGAGCGTGTGGGTGCTACGCCTGGGGGTGCTGAGCCTGGGGGTGCTGAGCCTGGGGGTGCTGAGTCTGGGGGTACTACGACTGGGGGTGCTGAGCCTGGGGGTACTACGCCTGGAGGTGCTGAGCCTGGGGGTGCTGCGTCTGGGGGTGCTGAGCCTGGGGGTACTACGCCTGGAGGTGCTGAGCCTGGGGGTGCTACGCCTGGTGGTGCTGTGCCTGGCGGTTCACCGGGTGCTCCCTCTCGCCGAGAGCCACTCTCTCCCCAGGAGCTACGTGAGTGGTTTGCCCGGCGCTGGAGGCGAGCTGCTGGAGCTGCTGGAGCTGGAGGTGCTGCGGGTACTGGAGGTTCTGTTGCTTCTGAGGGAGCTGGTGCCACGGGTCCCGGAGGTGCTCGTACTGGGAGTACTGGAGCTGCTGGACCTGCGGGTACTTCTGGAGCTGGAGTTGCTGCGGGTGTTGGCGCGGAGGCTACTGCTGTCGGTCCTGGAGGCGGTCCTGCTGGGGGTACTACTGGTGCTGCTGGGGGTTCTGGAGCTGGAGCTGCTACTGGTGCTGGTGCTGCCCCTGCGGGTGCTGGTGCTGTCCCTCCTGTGTCTGGAGTCGCCGCGCGGCCTCGGCCGTACTTCGTTCCGCTCCTTCAGCAGGTTCTTGGTCTCCCGCCTTCTACTGGTCCTCCTCCTCCCTTAGAGTGTCCACAGCCTGTCCCGTCGCAGTTACAGTTACAGCCGGCCTCCCCACTGCCTGCTCCGTCTCCCTACACTGGTCCTACTGGAGGTCTTGCTGAGCGTCGTGAGCCTGCGTCTCGCCCTGCGTCGCCTGTCCGTGCTGCTCGCACTAGTGGTCGCGGTTCGCGTCAGCGTCCTCCTCCTGTCCCTGGCACGCACCGGATGTCTCTGCGTCCGTCCACTGCTCCTCTGCGTGCCCCTTTACCTTCTCCTCCTGAGTCTTCTCTTCCTACTCTTGCCGACCCGGAGTCGGACTCTCTTCGCGCTGCCAGTCCTACTGTCACGCGTCTCCTTGCTACGGTTGTCACTGACCCTTCCTTTGAGTCCACTGCTGCGTCTGCTCTAGTTGCTGAGCTCGTCGACTTTGCTGCTCGCTGTCGCCTAGACTACGTCGCCAGTCTTGTTGCTGAGTCTGAGTCTGTCTGTCCTCCGTCCGTCGGGGGTGAGTGTGCCCTTGGCACGGACGTCCTTGAGGACAGGCAGGAGGAGTTCCAGTGCTTGGCCGCTGCTTCACCTCATCTCGTGTCCGTACTGCTTACCCCTGAGGGAGACCCGGATGCACTTGACATCCCGACTCCGCGCTCTTACGCGGAGGCGATAGAGGGTCCCTACTCCTCTCAGTGGCAGGCAGCTATGGATGCAGAGATGGCTTCCTGGAAGTCCACAGGCACCTACGTCGACGCTGTTCCCCCTCCTGGGGCGAACATCGTCAGTGGCATGTGGATTTTCAGGGTGAAGCGACCGCCGGGTTCTCCGCCTGTCTTCAAGGCGCGTTACGTGGCTCGTGGCTTCAGTCAGCGGCAGGGAGTTGACTACTTTCAGACCTTCTCTCCCACCCCGAAGATGACCACTCTTCGGGTACTGCTGCACGTAGCTGCTCACCGTGACTACGAGCTACACTCTCTTGACTTCAGCACTGCTTTCTTGCAGGGCAGCCTGCACGAGGAGATCTGGCTGCGTCGCCCACCTGGCTTCACTGGGTCTTTTCCTCCTGGCACCCAGTGGAGCCTACGGCGGCCAGTCTACGGTCTCCGCCAGGCACCGCGTGAGTGGCACGACACACTGAGGACTACACTTGCAGCTCTTGGGTTTGCTCCCTCTACTGCCGACCCGTCGCTGTTTCTGCGCACCGACACTTCTTTGCCGCCGTTCTACATCCTCGTGTACGTCGACGGCTTGGTCTTTGCCACAGCTGACACTGCTGGACTAGCCCACGTGAAGTCCGAGCTGCAGAAGAGACACACGTGCACTGACCTGGGTGAACTGCGCAGCTACCTTGGCTTGCAGATCACTCGGGACAGAGCACGCCGCACCATTACCCTGACTCAGTCACACATGGTGCAGCAGGTCCTTCAGCGCTTCGGCTTCACGTACTCCTCGCCTCAGGCCACTCCTCTGCCTACTCGCCACTCGCTCTCAGCTCTGCCTTCGGATGAGTCCGTAGAGTCGAGTGGCCCGTACCCAGAGCTTGTTGGCTGCCTCATGTACCTGATGACCTGCACACGACCTGACCTTGCATACCCTCTTAGCATTCTTGCACGCTATGTTGCTCCTGGGAGACACAGACCGGAGCACATGGCTGCAGCGAAGAGGGTGTTGCGCTACTTGTGCAGTACGTCGGGCATGGGGCTTGTGCTTGGAGGGCAGAGTCCAGTGGTCCTTACTGGGCACGCAGACGCTTCTTGGGCTGACGACCAGGCTACGCAGCGGTCGTCACAGGGTTACACCTTCAGCCTTGGTTCCGGCTCTGTTTCGTGGCGGGCTACTCGCTCGTCTTCTGTTCTCGGCTCCAGTTGTGAGGCTGAGATCTACGCAGGAGCCATGGCTGCACAGGAGCTTCGCTGGCTCACCTACCTGCTGACTGACCTCGGAGAGTTGCCTCGTTCTCCTCCAGTGCTGTACGTAGACAACAAGGCCATGCTGGCCTTGTGTCGGGAGCAGCGACTGGAGCACAGAACGAAGCACATTGCTCTCCGCTACGTTCTTGCTCGTGAGCTGCAGCAGCGTGGTCAGCTGCGTCTTGCGTACGTGGCCTCTGAGGCCAACACTGCTGATATCTTCACCAAGGCACTTGCGCCTTGTGACCATCAGCGCTTCTGTACTCAGCTTGGCCTTGTGCCTACCTTGCCTCACTTGCTCACCTCTTGACCTTGCTAGTACTGTTACATATATATATACCTGCTCTTGTTTGTCTAGCCTTTTTTTTTATATATATGTGTACTCCTGCTTGTGAACTGGCCTTGTGGCCTTGAACTTGTGCTCGGAATGTGTGGTGACTTTGTGATCCACCCTGAGCTTGTTTTTGCTTTGCTTTGCTTGACTGGTCTTGTGACCCCTTGTTCTCCCCCACTTTGCCTATGGGGGTGTGTCAGATTTATATGACATAGCTACTGTAGGCTATAGTGGGGTAGCACATATGGGGTACAGTTTTCTAGGGTTTGCTTCTTGTACCCAACTTTCACTTAGTCATTTCATTCCTCGTTTCTTCTCATCCCTCGTTCAACCTCATCGGCTACGTGAATGCCAATCACGCCTCAGATCCCGACAATCGACGGTCGAGAACCGACTTCCTGTTCCGACTCAAGCCAACAGGGCCCATCTCGTGGAATTCCCAGAAGCAGGAACTGGTTGACATGTCATCGGCGAAAGTAGAGTTCATCGCCTCGACAACAGCAGTTCGCAGAGGGCTCTGCCTACAGGATCTCCTGCAGGAGGCGAAAATCCCAACTTCGCCAACCTTTCGCCTGCACTGCGACAACCAAAGTGCGATCAAGATCGCGGACAAGCCAGGATTCGTCAAACGCACCAAGCACATCGAGCTGCGTCAAGGACGAAATTGACAACGGCAAGGTCGATCTGACGTACTGCCCAATCGGTGACATGGCAGCTAACTTCCTCACGAAGCGACTGCCTGGTCAGTAGTACCAGCACTGCGCAAATCTGAGTGGTCAAGTGAGTCCAGACTTGCTACGGCCAGGAATGAAGGGGGGTGTTACTATAAATGAAGTCTGAGTGCAACGCATTCATGTTCGTAACAAGAAACCTGCACAAACGAGTACGAATGCGAACGGCCAAAGTTGCGCGAAACGTCGCGTACAGTTGGAAGGATCTGGACCGTCAGCGGCAGAAGCATCGGGCAGCTACATCGCCAAGGAAATGGGGGGAACGGGTTTGTAACCGGCTCCCGCGTCGCAATAAGAGAATGTACCCCTCAGAGTAGGCATGAGCACAGTACCGGTTCGGTTCGGTTATTAGGCTTTCCGAACCGGGCCGGTTTGTTACCGAACCGAACCGGTTCGTTTACGAACCGGTTTCTGGCACCCCGGTTCGGGGTTCGTTAATATGTATAACGAACCGGGCCGGTTCGGCCGAACCGGCCCGGTTTGTTGGCGAACCGAACCGGTTCGGTAAGCTACATATAATTGGGTAACACGCTACGGTCGCGTAAACGAACAATTCGTTTACAAACTGGGCCGGTTCGGTTCGGCGCGACTCAGTATTGTCACGTAAACGAACCTTAACTAACCGCGAACCGGTTCGCTCTCGAACCGGTTCGGCCCGTATTCGAACCTACTCCCAAAAATCCCGGTTCGGTTCGCCCTTTTAGTGAACCGAACCGAACGGAACCGACCGCGGTTCGGTATTTTGCCCATGCCTACCTCAGAGTACATGGCTAGTCTAGGTCGTTTCGTATTCCCTGTACTATATATATATACCAATGTATTTAATAATCACTTCAGTCATTTACATTAACTCTAGTCTGAAGTCACTCAGTTCCGCTGCATTAACTATGTGCGAACAACCTGAGGTGATCCTGACAAGATCCCCCGTGGGATCGTAACAAAATTCCTTACATGGGGTCTGTATTAGTTTAGATTCACACATTTCTCCTGAATATCATATGCTTGTTAGCTAGTGTAAATTCTCAAACCTTACCTCAAATTATGCAATGAGTGTCTTTAGCGAGCACACCTTTAGTGGGTTGGCGAGAAGTGTTGCGTGGAAAAACCCTCTCCCATCGCATTTCCCTGAAAACCTTCCTAACACCTCAATCCCCCTCGGCACGTCTGTATCCTTCCCTCCTCTCTCACCAACATTCGCGATTTGTGCTGTTGAGACAGGAGTAGCTAGGCTTGCCTTAGTTGCTCTCTCTGCTGCCATGGCAGTGGGCAAAGGCGCGAGCACTGAGAACCCTAATCGCGTGGATCGCGGGCAGTTGGAGAGGGCTGTACAGTCGTTAGTCAAATGGATGACCGCGCGGCAAAAAGCGAAGTCGGAGCACGAGCTTTTCGCGGAGGATGATGACGAGCTCATTCACGTGGTAATCGGGCTTAAGTCTTCGCCAGACTTCGCCAAGACGAGCGGGTTTCGCCTGCCGATCCCGAATTCCCTGTATCCTCTGGATGCGGGCAAGGAAGTCTGTCTGCTTGTCAACGACGACCCCAAGGGCGGCCATAAAAAATCGAAGGACAAATTCCTGAAGCAGGTCAGTGAGTTGCTTGCAAAGATGCTTCACATAAGAGGGCTTTGGGAAATGAGGGCTTTATGAATGGTTATATTGCGGTTTGGAGGAACAAGCGTGTCACTTAGCTTCTTTTTCTTTTTTTCTTCAAGCGGAAATGACTGCAAAGGTTTTTCGAGGGTTTTACGAGGGTATTGTCTGTCCGTCTCTGGCGGAGCATTGACGCCATCGTGAAACCCTTAATATGGGCATCGGGAACTGGCATGTCCTTACCAGTCGACTCAAAAGTCGTATCGTCATTCCATTCTTTGGTCGGGCATTGACACCATGGTGAAACCCTGAACACGAGCATCGGAAATTGACGTCGACTCAAAAGTCACCATGGTGAAATCCTAAAGTCGACCGTCGTGAATTGGCATTCCTTTCGATACACGTCGCAGCAAGGCAACATACTTTTCAACAGATGCGACCAACTCCTTTCCCGCCGGCAGCTTCTCACTTAGACCCACGTGGAGCGACGTGGAACCACGTGGACATATTGGTGTGCAAGCGTAATCGAAAAGGGCAATCCTACCCCACCCTACCGTACCTTACTCTACCCTACCCTACCATACCGTACCCTACCGTACCCTACCTGCCCTACCTTGCCACCCTACCTTACCCAACCCTACACGACGCCCCCCCTCTTCCCTCTAGCTCAGGCTTTCGTTTGTTCAGCGAGAATCACCAAAGTCACAGGCGTGACGAAGCTTCGCATCAAAGTACATATGTGGCCAAGCTTGTGACTTGCCCTAGTTTCCTAACCCTCCCCACCTTTGCATCTCCCCCCAGAGTTCAGCAGGGGTCACTCAGGTGATTAGTAACCAAGCTCCACACCAATCACAAGCAGCACAAGGCCGCATGCTTTTCTTACATGCCCTATTCTCCCCGCCGCTTTCACTTGCCACTTTTGCTATCCAGGGTGCAGCAGGAACACCAAAGTGATTTCTTTCCAAGCTGCGAACCCAGTATAAGCAGAACGAGGCCAAGCATATGAACATGCCGTCCTCCCTCCCCCCCCCTTCCCATCTCCCCTCCCCTCTCCACCGTTTCCCAAGGTGCAGCGGGGATCACCGAGGTGATCGGGCTGATCAAGCTGCGCACCAAGTACAAGCAGTACGAGGCCAAGCGCCTCAACTTGCCCTGTTCTTCCTGACTCCCTCCCCCTCCCCAGGGTTCAGCAGGGGTCACCAAGATGATTGGTCCCACCAAGCTGCGGACTAAGTACAAGCAGTACGAGGCAAAGCGCCTCAACACGGCCTGTCCTCCCTATTCACCCCCACCTTTGCCACTCCCCAGGGTGCAGCAGGAGTCAGCAAGGTGATCGGCCTCACCAAGCTGTGTAGCACGTACAAGCAGTACGAGTCGAAGCACCTCAACATGGCCTATTCTCCCAACCCCCCTCCCACCCCTCCCCACCTTCGCATCTCGTCCAATTCCCTTGGAGTTCAGCAGGTATCTCTAAGATGATCTGTCTAACCAATCTCCACACCAATCACAAGCAACATGAGGCCAAGCGCCTCAGCATGCCATATTCTCCCCGTCCCTCTCTCTTGCCACTTTTGCTATCCAGGGTGCAGCAGGCAGGAATCACCAAGGCGATTGGCCTCTCCAAGCTGCGTTACGAGGTCAAGCACCTTCACATGCCCTATTCTTTCTATCCCCCTCCCCCCCCCCCCCCCTCCCCCTCCCCTACCTACCACTCTCCAGGGTTTAGCAGGGATCACCAAGGTGATTGGTCTCACCAAGCTGCGCACCAAGTACGAGCAGTATGAGATCAAACGCCTCAACATGCCTTTCTCCCTTCCCCCCCTCTCCCTAATCCTAATCCCGCCCAGGGATCACCAAGGTGATAGGCCTGACCAAGCTGCGCACCAAGTACAAACAGTACGAGGCCAAACAATTTACCATGCCCAATTCCCCCTACCCCCACTCTCCCCCTTTCCCTCCTTTCTCCGCATTTGCCATTCCCCAGAATTCAGCCGGGATTACCAAGGTGATCGGGCTGACCAAGCTGCGCACCAAGTACAAGCAGTATGAGTCCAAGCGACAACTACTCGGCTCTTACGACCGCTTCCTGGCCGACGTTGACATCCTCCACCAGCTTCCCCCCCTTATTGGCACAAAGTTCTTCAAGAAGAAGAAGCACCCGATCCCTGTGAAGCTCCGTGGGAAGGACAGGGCGAAGAGTGTGCGAGAGGCGTGCGATAGCACGTATTTGTATGTGAGTGGGGGCCCGTCGATGAGCGTGCGGGCGGCGAGGTTCGGCATTAGCGAGGAGGAGATTGTGGGGAATGTGATGGCGGTGGTGGCGGGGGCGGTGGAGCACGTGCCGAAGAAATGGAAGAATGTGAGCTCGTTGCATATACGCGCCACGGATTCGCTCACTCTGCCGATCTACATGGCGGAGGTTGATTTGCCTACGAAAATGGCTGTTAAGGTGGTTGGACGGAAAGGGGTTGAGGAAGGGGTGGAGATGGAGGTTGGAGGTGGGGATGAGGAGGTGGGGAAGGGGAAGAGGAGAAGAGGGAGCACAGGGGGCAAAGTGGCAGGTGTGAAGGCCAAGAAGCCGAAAGTAGTGAAGAGGAGGTTGTCGACTTGAAGGGCTTTGGTGGTATTTTTTTCCGGGAATAGTAAAATCATGAATATTCCTGTATCAAATGTTTCATTTAGATGATTATGAAATAGCCTTAGGAGAAAAGTGTGAGTTAGTTTGGCTTCAACTCAGTTGAGCCACACGTCTCATCTTGCCAACACACCCTTTATCGGGTACAACCTCACCTGGATTTCCTGAGCGACCAGTTGTCCCGGTAACCCTTCTCGTGGAAGCTCGCATGGGGGCTGGGGTTGCTGTTTCTGGAATTCCACCATCCATCCGCTCCATGTTCCATCCACTCCACCCTTCATGCTCATTCATCAGCATTCGCTTTCGCTATTTTCCAGGTTTCCACTGCATGCACGGATTAGCTGTGCAAGCAGCCGCATCCCCCAGCGTCTCTCGCGCCAACGTCCTGGCTGTTCTGGGGACGAGGCTCAATGGCTTCATATCCTATGCCTACCGACTCCTATGGTGCGTCTGATTTCCGGCTGTCGTGGCGCGAGGTTGGTGTTGCGTGTAGAGTCGACATGAACTCACGCCAGCGAACCTACGAACTTCAGACTTCTCCCACCAAGGTCGGAATTTAGCGTTTTCATAACCAGCTTCACGGTCGTTCTTCTTTCTCCAGTTTCTGTCTCATGCGCGGCATCGTCAATCGTCCTATTTTGCCCTTGACTTCCGCGATGCCTTCTTATTCTCCTGGATCCGAATTGACCTGCAGGCGTTGAGCAGGATGGAGGTACCAGTTCTGCGCGCGTGTCTGAGGTGTCGCACGCTCATCATTAACCATGAGGGCTGCAAGTACGTCACATGCCAGTGCGGCGCCACCTTCTGCTTCGCCTGCCTGCAACCGTGGGATGAGTGCAACACTGACCATAGCGGGCCCTGCGCTGCGCCAGTTGCACCCCGTCAGGGTTAATTTCTGCTCTGGGGTGAAACAAAGCGAGGTGAAGGCAAAAAAACTACCCTAGTAGGTTAGGACATTGTTTGTAGGTGTTGTTGAGGCTTGTGCAGTCTACATGAGGTGCACGGTGTGAGCTGCCATTGCAGTTTGCTTTGATGTAAAGGACTCTCCTCTACTTTGCAGGAACTGGGATTTGTACTAATCACTAGAGCACACTCTTGGCTTTTCAAGGAGCCGTAGAACACGTAATTCGCCCAAGTATCGGCTGAGATACGGCTTTCAACGTGCTAGGTAGTGCTCTAAGATTGAAGGATAGAAAGTCTCTGGATTTTGTGTCGAGTTGAACCGTGTATAGAAAACTCTGATTTTCAGTATGAAACATGCATACAAAGCAACTAGTTTTATATCATGCAATCAACATCGAACCGCGCTCGTAACATCGCATCGCTACACTTCGCGAATGTTCTCGTAACATTTCGAAGTGGTGAAATTCGACACTCGAATTTCACTCATCCGAATGTTCCTTCAAGTCTCGAACTTTTTGGTGCTGCCATGTGGCACCGAATTGGTTGAGTCTTCCGAAGTCAATCTTCAGCCCCACGCCAACCTGCAGCTCACTCGAAGGTGAGAAGCAAAAGCAGCACCGTTCGGTGGTTGGGGGCAAAACCTAGCCCCACGCAACCTCCAACACTCCCCCTTGCACCCAAGCCACTAGGTGCTCAATCCAACACGCTCACAGCATGCACGGAATGAATCCTTAGGGAGTGGTTTAGTGAGGAAGTCCGCGGGTTGAGCTTTGGTGCTTATGTAAGTGAGTTTGACCTCACCCTTCTCAACTGCCTCACGAATGAAGTGATGCTTCACTTCGATATGCTTGGTTCGCCCATGAAGGACCGCGTTGTGAGAGAGGCTTATGGCGGCTTGGTTGTCACAAAAGAGAGGAGTTGGGTTCGTTTGAGGATGCCCAAGCTCCGCTAGAAGACGTCGTAGCCATATCGCCTCCATGGCACCTTGAGTGAGTGCCATATACTCCGCTTCCGTTGAGCTTAGAGCCACGGTTGGTTGCTTCTTGCTTTGCCAACTCACGGCCGCCCCAAGCAAGGTGAAGACATACCCGGAGGTACTCTTGCGCGTGCTCGGATCTCCCGCGTAGTCCGAGTCGGCATAGCCCTTGAGTTCAATCGGGCCGGCTTCATACACGAGCCCCAAGTTAGGTGTGCCTTGGAGGTAGCGTAGAACGCGTCCTCCCGCGCGCACATGCTCGGTATGAAGGTTGCTCACGACTCGTCCAAGCACCCCGGCGGCGTATGCGAGGTCGGGACGAGTAGAAACGGCGGCATACATGAGCGAGCCCACTAGCGAATGAAACCGCTTCCCTTCGGCTTCATCGAAGGTGGATTCTTCCTCTTCCGTGAGGCAAGAGAACCCCGTAGCTAGTGGTGTTCCCACCGGTTTGCTATTGCCCATGCCGAAGCTCTCCACTACCCCCTTCACATACTTCTCTTGGTGGAGGTGGATGGTCCCGTTGGCTCGGTCACGGTCAACGTGCATCCCAAGGTAGTACGTGACCGGCCCCAAGTCCCTCATAGCAAACTCCGCCCCTAGCCGTTGCTTGACCTCCCGAATGAGGTCTTTGGAGTCGGAGAAGAGGAGTAAGTCATCGACGTAGAGTAAAAGCACCAATTGCTTCTCCCCCTCCTTCAACACGTACAAAGCGCTATCGCACTCGCTACGCGCGAAGCCGTGTTGAAGAAGAAAGTCGTCGATGCGCTTGTACCATCCGCGTGGACTTTGCTTCAAGCCGTAAAGGGTACGCTTGAGCTTCCACACCCTTCCGCTACCGTCATCGTACCCCGGGGGTTGCCGCATGTAGACTTCTTCCATAAGAAGCCCGTAGAGGAAGGCGGTGCAAACGTCCAATTGCTCCACCTCGAGATTGAGGGATGCCGCTAACGCGAGCAACACCCGAAGAGTTGTAGCCTTAGCGACGGGAGCGAAAGTCTCGCTATAGTGCTCCCCCTCCCGTTGAGTGTATCCTTGAGCTACAAGCCTCGCCTTGTAGCGTTCGACACTCCCATCGGCTCCCAACTTCTTCGTAAGCACCCATTTGCACCCCACCAAGTAGGCACCCTTCGGCGGGTCGACGAGCTCGAACACATCGTTCTCCTTGATCGATGCTAGCTCCTTCTCCATCGCTTGCTTCCATAGAGGTGCATCCGGAGAAGCCAAAGCCTCCATGTGGGTGCGAGGGTCATCTCCCATGGTTGCGAAGCAATATGCCGCACGCTCCTCATCCAACTCCCCAACGGCTACCGTAGCGTAGTCGGCTAACTTCGTGTTGGGGCGAGGTGTACGACGCCGACGGGTCAACGCCAATGGTAGGGAAGAAGGTGCGGAGGGAGTTGCCTCCTCGGTTGGTGGCACCTCCACGACATCGTCATCGCTCTCCTCGTTCTCTCCCCCTCCACTTTCGGCTTCATTGTCCACTTGTGATGGAACCTCCACCGCCTCATCCTCCTCTCGTGCGGGAAGTACGACGGTGTGTTGCGGCATTGGTGGTTCCTTCGACGGAAACTTGTCTTCGTCGAAGACCACGTCTCGAGATGTGACGACGCGCCTTTCACCCAAGTCCCACACTCGCCACGCACGCTCGTTTGCCGCAATTCCCAAGTAGATTGCCGCACGAGCCTTCGGTTGCAACTTGTGACGAAGGGGATCCGGGACATGGTAGTAGCAAAGGCACCCAAAGGTGCGAAGGCGGGATAGGTTCGGCTTCGTTCCGGTCCATGCTTCGAACGGAGTCGTTCCCGGGAGCACCCTCGTCGGCAAACGGTTGCGAATCCACGCCGCTAGCGAACTCGCCTCGCCCCACCACTCGCTCCCAAGCTTGGAGTGTTGAAGAAGAGAACGAACGGCTTCCACCAAAGTGCGATTAAGCCGCTCCGCCGCTCCATTTTGTTGGGGTGTGTAGGGTGTTGTGACGTCGTGCTTAATGCCCTTGCACTTCATCCATTTCTCGAGCTCCGCATTCACGAATTCGCCACCACCATCGGTGCGAATACACTTGATCCGCTTCTTGTCGTCGTCGCAAACTTCGAGCGCCCACTCTTGAATCGCCTTGGTCGCATCTCCCTTAGCCTTCAAGAGTCGGGTCCAACACATCCGCGTCGCGTCGTCGAGCATCACCAAGAGGAACCGCGCTCCTCCCTTTGATGCATGCCGCATCGGTCCACACACGTCCATGTGAACAAGCGCAAGCGGGTCCTTAGCGAGGGGAGAGGTACGGCTACCAAATGGCTTGCGAGCCATTTTTCCTTCGACACACGCCGCGCACACGCCCTTCTCGTCGTCGCCGGCGATCACGTCGACTCCCTTCGCTAGTCCTTTGTTGGCCAACGCCTTGACCGATTCGTAGTTGGCGTGCGCAAGCCGATTATGCCACGCATGGAGAGTCGCCTTGGACCCTTGCGCCACGTTGGAGGAAGCCGCTCTCGGGTGCGTCTTGAGTTGGTAGAGTTCTCCGTTGAGAACGCCTTGTGCGAATTGCTTCCCCTTCCAAATGAGGTTCATCGTCGCGCCATCGATGGTGAACTTCACATCCTTCTTCGCGAGTTGAGTGACGGAGAGTAGATTCACCTTCAACCCCGGGACGTGAAGCACATTCGTGATGTCCACCGGTCCGCCATCGACGATGAGACGTTTTCCCAACTCCGACCACCGGCAGCGACTTGTTGTTTCCGAAGACGACACGCGTGACGTCTCCCGGTGCACCAACGTTGGTGAGGAACGATGCCGAGTGCGTCATGTGTTGCGTTGCGCCGGTGTCGAGGAACCACGCGTCGCTTGGAGTGTTGGTCCCGTCACCGGCCAATAACACGATCGAGTCCCTTGTATCATCCGCCTCGCCGGATGCCGTGTGCGCGTTGCCCTCGTGGTTCCGCGCCTTCGATGGAGTCCAATCGCTCGGCCGCTTCCGACACTCTCGCCAAAAGTGTCCCGCTTTGCCGCAATAGTGGCACTTGCTCGCGCCATTCGATGTGTTTCCCTTGCCGCGATCGCTTCCACCGTACGACTTCTTCGTCGCACCCTTGCTCCACTTGGAATTTCCTCCAGAACTCCCTCCGGAGAACATGGCGGTCTCCACGTTCTCATTAGCGAATTGTCGGCGACGCGATTCTTCATGGAGAAGCCGACCGACCACCATTTCCTTCGTCCAAGTGTCTTGCACGCTATCGAGTGTCGTAATCACCGTCGACCACTCTTCCGGAAGGCCGCATAGCAAGGTCAAAATCCAATCCTCCTCCGTGACCGTTCCACCGAGGTCCATGAACGTTTCCCCGAGTTCCTCCACACGAGTCGCATACTCGTGCATCGATTCGCCCGCGCGCATCTTCACCGTGTAGAACGCGTTCCGGGCTAGGATCTTGCCGTGGAGAGTTTTGTTCACGTGGATGGTCTCAAGCCGCTTCCACGCTTCATGCGCCGACGCTTCGAGCTTGATGCACATGCGCACCGAACTCACGAGGTTGATGCCGATGCGCGAAATCAACGTTGCGAACGCCTTTTGGTCCTTCTTCTTCCATGCCGCGATGCCGCTCTCATCGTCCGGCTTCTTCTCCGTTCCATCGAAGTAACCCCAAAGTCCCCGCTCCATCATGAGCACTTGGAACTTAAACTTCCACGCGGAGTAGTTTTGTCCCGTGAAAATCGGTACCGCCGACGTGTCGAACATCGTCGAGGTTGCCCAGGGTTCGCCGGAATTCGAGACGACACCACCTGAGGAAGTGCCGGAGGCTTCGCTTGACGTCATCATGCTTGCTCCTTGTCGCGCGCGTAGACTCCTCCGACCAGCTCTGATACCACTGATGTAAAGGACTCTCCTCTACTTTGCAGGAACTGGGATTTGTACTAATCACTAGAGCACACTCTTGGCTTTTCAAGGAGCCGTAGAACACGTAATTCGCCCAAGTATCGGCTGAGATACGGCTTTCAACGTGCTAGGTAGTGCTCTAAGA